CAATAAATCTGTGTGAGTAGAGATAAAATAGAGAGAGCTTATCTTGCACAGTGGTGTCAGAGCCCAACGTTCAAAAGCTGTTATCGCAGACACTCACATACAATATATGATATAAGAAATACAGTCCTACAAATATTCAGCATATGTGTACAGTACAGGAAAACAGGTGATATATTTACTATAGTGCTGTATATACATAGAGGGCATAGTGTATAATCTCTATGTCTATTTGAGAATGCATTTTATATTTATCAGCATCACATATGACTGTCTCTATCTCTGTTAACCTCTAATTGTTGCTTTGCTACTGTTAAATGTTAAAACATTGATATTTGCCATATACCTTTATAGATACTGTCATAAATAAGCCAACCACAGTTGAGAAAAAGATAAATCATACATTTAAGAATGTTAAAAGCAGTGCTTAAATTAAACAAACTATTGCTTGGGCTCAACCTCTGTCCTTTTAATGACAAATGCTTTTCAAATCAAGTTTTGATTTTTTAGGGTATGCAAAGTTTTTCTTGGTGCATTTATGTATCAATCAATGCAAAATATTTATGCAGAGCTCAATCTGCAAAATGTTCACTGACAACATATGACATATGTATATGATATTGACTACAATACAATATCAGTTTATTGGAGCTAAACTGGGATTTTTATTCTTCAGGGTCATGAGACAGGACACTTCAACACCAATGTCAGTAAAACATATCTTACACTATGCCTTCAATGTGAAAAGTTGCAGAAATAGCTTCATAAGCAAGATATAATGCTTTATACTTGGATAGATTTGAAGGATTATTCCCCTGTGATGTGGATGGGGGCCCTATCTCCAGTGTAACATAGATGGACTCACATTGTTGGTGACTCAGTACATAATAATCTTGTGTGTGCTCTGCATTGGAATGCTATTTCTGCTCACTCTAGAGAAATCTACAGAAATCCTTCTAGGTCTTGAGATGACAAATTTCCAGAGTATCTTTCATGGAAAATTGACTTTGGCTCCTGTTTATAATTTAAATGTCAACATGTAAAATTTCCAGGGGGAATAGTGAAAATGCGATAGAGGAATAGCTTAAGCCTAGGACGAAGTCATCGCAGCCTGGACACTGACTGGTGTCTCATATGTTATGGATGTTCTGTCATCAGTTTTCACTTTTCTCAGCACAATAGACCTCATTACTGTGTCTAACGTATTGATGGTCCAGTAATAGTGGTATGCTGATTGCAGAAATGAGGAGTAATAATGTTTCAGGAGATATTGCAGTAGCTCATTTTAAGGTATAATTAAACTGCATTTGGATGATGCTGGATGATTCTTTCTATAGCAATCCAGAGCTCATTTCTAATGGAAACTATGGATGTAAGCGAGTCATTATGCCCCCGTTGTGTCTAAGATTCTGTGAAATGATGGTCACCCAGACAACATTAAAGGAAAATACTGTCAATATAAACTTGTAGAAGAAATGAGAAGCATAGGAAACAAGGAGACTAAGAGACTTTGGTTAATTGGACAGGTCATTCAGGTCTTGGCGAGCTGTTTACCACATACTGAGCAAACCAAACCCTGCCACAAGGTGCACACTCTAACCTCTGTTGTATCTGGTGTGGGTGTTGCGCACTTCTTTATGTAACAGTTTATGTATTTATGTAACACAGATACTCTTTTTTTAGCTCAAGATGTGCCTCTTTGTGTGCACATTCCTTTTAGAACTTGGTTCATGTCTTATCTCCGAGAATGTGCTTTAATGTGTAGCTGTGCCAGTGTTATGGTTTGACTTTGTCCAAAATGTAATCTCTTAAAATTGCTCCACTCCCACAGTTATTGGAGTTGACTCAAGCTAAAGAGGGGCTGTCTGCCAAGACCCTCTCATACCTCTCTTCACTCCCACTTGCTGGGCTTGGATTTGGTTGATTCATTCTTACCCTTTTTCAAATTTCTTTTTTGCAGACCATTTTGCCCTCTACCTGATGAATTCATTGACAATGCAGGAAATCAAATTTCATCCATTTATTACCTTTATTTTGAGGGCAATATGCAGCTAATTTATCTTCAAAACATTTTGTAGTTAGGATGTGGAACTGATATAAAATTCAACTAATATTCAATTGGAGTCTTAAAATATTCACTAATAAGACTTACAATATGAATTAGGAAAACTCACCCAATTACAGAGCAAAATACAATTTGAATAAAAGTGCTGCGAGGACATATTTCATTAAATTTTAAACACTCAATATGGAGGCAATTTCTGATTAAAATCAAGCCACAGAATTACAACTGCTTGGCAAAATCCATATTGCATATCAAACAGTGGAGGCATGCCGTAATAATGTTCCTGTTAAAGGGATATGACATAAAAAGTAGAGGGGAAAGTATTTCATAATGTATAGATGTATGGTAATAAGTTCTGTACTTGTTGAATATTAGGTTTGTGATTATACACACTGTAGCTGTGTGTAAGCTTGCATCATCTTCAACATGGTGATGCCGAAACCTCTAAACTATTTTACTATCATGAAGTGATTTCTCATTGCTTATGAATGGAAGCAGGGGGGTGGGAGCCAGAAAAGTAGGGTTTCTCTTTGAGCTTCTTGTTGCTCTCAGTATTCTGTTCACCAGGGAGAGAGGAGGGAGGGGCTGGGGTGTTGGGTTTTGGGGGGGGAGAAGTATGATTGGTAAGAGTCAGGGTCTTTCATTTTGTCATGTGGTGTCTTTTTTCATTTCTGGGCTGATTTTTCACTGGAGGGCTAGTTCCATTCACTTGAATTTATTATTTCTCGCACTGAGGAAGTTGATGAATTCGAATATCTGTGAGCGTGTTTGTGTGTGCCTCTGCGCGCATTAATGCTTGCGCGGGTGTATGTGTGAGGATATGAGGCGAGCGTCTGTGTGTGTGTGTGTGTGTGTGTGTGTGTGTGTGTGTGTGTGTGTGTGTGTGTGTGTGTGTGTGTGTGAAAGGAGCGACGCTTTCATGGCTGTTTCAGATCTCTCTACCTCACAGTTCGACAGAGCGAGGGAGCCAGGAGGGAGAGAGAGATGGAGAGATAATGGGAATGGAGGGTGAAAGAAGGCTAACACAATCTTTAATGAGTTTCCTTCGCTCTCTTTGCCTGTTTCTGGGTCAGGGTCCCCTGGCTGAGGATGTGGGTGGACTGAGGACTATGGAGCAAAAAAGAACAGACTAAGCCAAGGTCTGCTAAAATAGACTTCTCCATTAAAGAGTCATCACCTACATAAAGACATAAGATGAAGAGCTCGACCATGTTTCAAAGTGTTTTTCCTGTTTAGACAGCAAAAGATGAAAGTTGATCAAAACAGCTAATGATCTTGTTCCAGCGCTTCCTTGCACCCACATAAACACAAACTGTGTAAGGAAGCGGTTACTCTTAAAAGTCAGAGGTCACTTGAGGCTTCATTGCCTCTACTCAATTAGCAACAGATTAAAAGCCAAGGAAGGAGTAAAGCAAGTTGGAACTTTTTCTGATGAAAAGGAGTCACGCACTCACATACTAAAGAGCATTACCCAGTATCATACACACACAAACACTTTCATAAGTACACAGACAAACCCCTCCTCCACCTGTGGTGAGGATCTCTTTGGTCATTTTCTGATTGGCTACCCCTGCCCTTTCATTTCCTAGCAATCAACTTCAATCTGTGGCAGGTATGGAGGGAGAGATAACATTAGAGAGAAATCGTGGGGAGATATCTGCTCAGCCGAGACATTATTTAGTGCTCCCGAAGCATCGAGGAGGCAACCTCTGTCAGACAACAAGGCTCCAGCATGTCCACACAGGACAGGGAGGCGGGTAGATAGAAGGACATGGAAGAATTACTGATGGGCTGATAAACTCTTTTGTTATCCGAACAGTCTGCCTTCCTGTTTCTGTCCTCCTGTGCTATGTTTCTGTCTGTCTGCCCAACTCCATTTCGATGTCTCAATCTTATGTCTGTCTGGCTGAGTTACTTTCAGGCTCTACTTTGAGTCTCTCTCTGTTCTCCTTCCCTCTCTCCCTCACCTTCTGTTTCCCACTGTATCTCTGTCTCTATTACTCTGCCTTCTTTCTTTCACACTTGTGAATAATTGATGTCTACCGGTTCGATGGTAAGAATAGAACAGTTCTGGAGGTGACAAATGGGGTGGCGAATAGGCTTCATCCTCCCCCCTTCAAAGAGTTAGAAAGTTAGCCGTGCTCGCTCGTGGATGTGTACGCCCATATATTTGTGTGCTTGCAATGTTTTGTGAGCATTTGTTCGTGTTTGTGCACGATGACACATACACATGCAGTTGTGTGTATGTGATTTAAGACAGAGAGATGAAAGGGAGTTGTAATTACAGGGAAGCGTATCTGTCTGCTGCAGAAGTATCCGAGGAATGGCACAAACTGGGCCAAAAGCCTGAGGTCATTAGATCTGCTGCATGTGTGTGTGCATGTGTGCATGTATCTGTAAGCTAGTGTGTGTGTGTGAGAAAGAGAGAAAGAGAGAGACAAAAGCAAAGAGGAAGAGAGAGAGCAAGAGAGAAAATGGGAGACACAGAGAGATCAGCTTATAACTTCAGTTCCTCAGAGTCAACCTCTGAACTCTGCTTCTCATTATTGGCTCTGCCTCTCTCATTTCTCAGCAGTAGCTGGTTGTGGTTAGACCAAGCACGGTCCAGTTTCTGTAAATCCATGCAGCCTTATTGCCTGAGAGGAATCCCAGAATTTCCTGCGCTCTAAAATACACTTGTGTAAACATTCCAAAATATCAAATGATAGGGATTTCACTGTGTGCTGTGCGAATGGATAATCCCATGCAAAGACTGTGGTTATAATACACTGTCCCACTGTCTCTTGTCTGCTTTTTTCTCTCTCCCAACCCATCCTTTCTCTCTCTTTCTCTGTCTTTCTGGGGCTTTCTGCCTCTGTTCTCAACTTCTCCCTTCATCTTTCCTTTCTACTCTTCCTATGTCCTTCCCTCCATCTTGTTGCCATCTCTCTCTTCACAGTTGACGATGACTTCATTGGTCTCGGTGATTTGCCGGAAACCTTCCCTTCAGATCCCCCTGAGCCGCTGCCTGTGTTTTTGATGGAACCAGAGGAGGCCTACATCGTCAAGAACAAGCCGGTCAACCTGTACTGCAAGGCCACTCCGGCCACTCAGATTTACTTCAAGTGCAACAGCGAGTGGGTTCACCAGAAGGAGCACACTGTGGAGGAGCGGGTTGACGAGAACTCTGGTCAGTAAACAGATCAGCTACATACACCTTCAAGTGTGCAAAAATGATGTTCATATATATAAATTTGCATTTGCAAATGCATAGGAGGCATTGCTGAATAGATTGTGCTTTCAGTCAAACTACCAAGGAATAATTCAACTTGAACAAATGTAGACACCGTTTTTTTACTGAATGTATTTTATTTGTGTTCCCCACAAAATTCACTCCTGACTGACACAATTAATGTTTTTATGGTTATGTTTTAGAAACTCAAAGCAGTTGATTAAGGATTAGCCTAGTGAAAGATTGTTGTATTGGTTCAGGGGTGTAGTGGTAAATACAATACATTGTTTCCCCTGATTGATTGATTGATACACTTTATCTGAAAATAACTCTCAGCCTCATTTCAAAGTTGTGGATAAATTTAGTTTACTTGGGTTTACCTCCACTATGCCCTTGTGTTGTTTAATATTGAGAAAGTCAAAGTTAACTTGAAGCATGACACAAGATGCATTAATTTATTTAACCAAAACCAAGATTGTTCCTTAGCAAAGTGCTTTAGTAGCCTAAACCTAAGAACATGTTGGATGCAAAATCTTGTGCTTTTATGCCCAAACATTTACCCTGACTTCCACCTAATGACTTCTGTGTGGTATAAGAAGATCACACTTCCTGGACTGGCAAAAATGTTCCCAGACATCATAATTCAGATAGCAAATTAGTAGCATAATTATATTTTGTAGGTGGTAGGGTTGATCAAAACATACATGTGCTCCCAAAAAAGTGGCTCAAGCCAGTTTATTTGATCAAGCAGTCATCTGGAGAAAAGGCTGGACTAAGAACGTCTCAATAAGACATCCTTTCTTTTTGCATATAGCATCACCGCTTTTGTGGTGTGTGTGCCTCGTGTGTGCAGGTGTGTGTTAATGTACATGGTTGTAAGCATCTAGAGGAAGTAAAGGGTAGTGAAGCTCCAGCAGGGTTGTTTTCAACAGAATTCAGCCCCCAAAGGCACCAGAGCCATTACACACAACAGCCCAGCACTGATTGGCTGCATTCAGCTGCTGTATTGGAAATTGAGTTCTTTCTGTCGCCCACAGGTACCAATCACATTGCATTTACTCTTTTCCTCCCGCTGTTTTGCCAAACACACACAGACACACTGACAGCTGCTCCTTCACTTAAATGTGGATGTTTAGGCACGCACTTACATACACCCAGCATTCTCTTGCATTTTGTATCTGTGGCATATAATAAAAATGCCTCCCAAGTCCTGTTTCACTGAACTAACTAAACTAACTAAAAACAAAAAACACAGTAGTGTTGCAGCACAGGTACAAGATACAGAAGCATATAAAAAAGGTTGTTGCAGCCAGCACAAATATAAAAGGAGCATTGGAAAAAAAAGAAAAAACTGAATCCCAACCTGAAATCCTTTTATTTTGACCTTGTGTACTTTAGGAAGAATACACAGATCTGAGGATGTGTTTCATGGTTATGATTATGACAAAGAAGAGGTTGAAGGTAGCAGTGGCTCTTGGCCTCTGTGTCAGTGGGTTTTGTGCTAAAAGCATCAACATGGAAAACAACCCACACATCATACACTCTCCACAGCCATATCCACAGGCTATTTACTGCACAGATTCATTCATTTATGCTCCTGCAACCCCCCCCCCACACACACACACACACGCAGAGCACACACAGCTTCTCTCAACCCACTCCATTGCTCTCTGATTTCCCCAGATTGACAGAAAAGGAGCACCGACAGAAACTGGCCCGCCTGGTCAATACCACTGATAGTGTAGCCTAAAGAAATTGGATCTCTCCCTCCTACCTTCCTCTCTTCCTAGTACTCGTGTGTTTCTCTTTTTCTCTCGTCCTGTCTCTATGTCTTACTTTTATGTAGCCGAGAACTTATGATCTCATGGAAATAAGACAAAATAAGAGATAATGAGTTTGAGGGAGTGAGGGAGTGAGGGCAGAAACTGCAAATGATATTTAGGCTACAGGCTGCATCCATTGCATCTTTATCCAGATGTTTGACACACTGGTATGACAACTAAAGTGCTGTCCACTGTACATACATATACAGGAACAACAATGTAGAGCTGTTGGTTTGTGTGTATTATGTGTGTGTGGCACTTGAAATGGAGTAGTGGTCTTAAAAGGCTTGACAACAGTAGGGTGGAGTGATTTATTTTTACATTTTTACACAGTATTTTCGTCAAGAGTCAAATACAGTGGCAATAAAAAGTATTCAGTATTAACTCACTGAATCAAAGTACTTTTTATGTGGCTTTTTCAACTGAAAAAGACCCTTTAATTTCAAAGTGAAAACAGATTTCTACGAAGTGATATGTTTATATATGGAAGTTTAGTGAGTCAGTATTGTGTCCACATATGCAAAGCATCTACTAAATACTGACTTCAAGGGGGTAAATACTTATCCAAACAAGTAAATTGTGTTTTATATTTGTAATTAATTCATTCATTAATTAATTAACACTTTATAGAGATCTGTTTTCACTTTAAATGGTCTTTTTCTGTTGATCACTATCAGAGAAGCCACATCAAATCTAGCTTGATTCAAGGCTGTAACATAACACATTAAAACATGGATATTTTCAAAGGGGGTGAATGCTTTTTATGGTCACTGTATGACTCAAATAGCAGTAATTTTTAAGATGTTTGCGTCATAAAAACAACTACCTGCTAAAAGTACAATTTGTGCAACATTAGTTGCCATGTAATTAGCAATATGGGGCTTGATTCACTGATGACCTTTCCCTGCACAATATTTTTTGCAGCATGAAAGAACTCACCTGCAGTTCTCGGCTTTTCAGACCTCACACAAGTATATGTTCTATCCAAAGGCTTTTTAATCCAGTGGATGTGACACACAGTGAGGCCACGTGGAACACATGTGAAACAAAACCCCCACAAAAGTACATACAATACACAAAACTGATTACCTTCTCAAGTTGTGTAATTGGAAATGATTGTTTTCTAAGGAACAGGTGATTACATGTAGAAAATAATAGACTGTTTGATTGCATGTGATTATCCTAAGAGCTGCAGCCAGTTAACACAATAAATCAGCAGAGAAAATATATTCTTTTCTGAACAGAAACAACGAAAGTTGGCAGGATGGATTGTCATTGCACCTGTATAAAAGAGTTGCTGCTTTGTTGTTGAAGTCCAGCTGGGGAACAGTAGGGAAGTTTCATCTGTGTGAGCATGTGACTATGAATCACTCATAATGTGGAGACACATGAAAATAAGTCAGATTCAAATCACATGTGCAAAATGTTACTAAGCAGGAGGCAAGAATGAAAAAGTGGTGTGAAGGAACAAAGCGTCATGACAATTTTTACAAATAGCCTTCTCCACAGTGATGATTTGTCTTTTGATGCTCAGCCTGCCATCACCTGAACACTGTAGCTTTTACCTCCAAGGGCAGGTTATAGTCTGCTGTGAGCATTGATCTGAGCAAATGAGCAGCAAATTAATTGTAAGTAGGCATAGCTAGTGTAATATACACTGGAGACAGCTTGTCACTCTCTATGAGATAGGAGTTAGAAGATCAAACGGGAGTGCTCTTCATCTGGCCAGATAATCAGAGCACTTACCCTCTCCTTCCTCCTTCAGTTCTCCTTCGATGACCAATGCCTTCTCTTCTGCTTGACTGGGCTGATCAATAATGTTAGCCAGTGCTAATACTAAGGAGCTAGGCTAGCTCACTTTAATGACCACATTAATAATGAATCATCTCCAATGAGGCGCCCTACTTCAGCCAGCTATTAATGGGACCTTTTGTAGAATCATTTCTACTCCTAATGGCCACATTGACGGGTGTGAAGTAGCCCCTCATTGCTGGTCTTGACATGGGCCACACTTGCTTTTCCCCTCTTGATTGCAAATTGAGAGTGGAAGTCTGTGTCTGTTTTGTTTCGTTGTTGCCATTGTAATGCTATACAGTGTGCTAAGAGCTGCTAGCTGAGCAAACATATGAAGTCACTGAATGAGGTCAGCAGGCTCAGTTCAGAGCCCTGTTCTTCTGCTAGAGTGATCCTTCTGATGTGTTTCAAGAGCAACACATCAGTGAAAGTTTAATCCTGCTTTAGTAATAGCAATGAAGTCATGGAGTAGTCCTTCTAAGGAGTCGTCATCATCACTTTAAGTTATCTTTTGGTGCAGAGGGCTTATTCTAACAATGTCAGACAGATAATTCACCACTATAGAACATTTTTCACAAACAGTCTGGAGCACAGACAGAAAAAAAAATTAACCGATTCTGGCACGTGTTTTACACCTTCGGAGAATTCATATCTGCTTACTTATTGTTTCCACTATTGATTTTGCCTCTGCTACTCAGTGTGTGATGTTCTCACATCCATCACATCCATCCTTGAAATTCTCAATACACATCCTTTCAGTGGAATACACAGTACAGACAACCACAGACACACACCCCTCGACTCATGCATGCATGTGGAGACACACTTACACGCAGAAGCATAATGCACACACAACAGACGCGGCTGTTCGTCTGCCTGTCGGCACACTGTGTAAATTTTACATGAGAGCAAAGCTGGTGTGTGGGATGTCACTGTGCTTGGTGTGTGTGCCAGAGCAAGGAGGCTGTGTGAATGCACTGAACCTGAAGTAAAATGGCATGTTCATTTTTTAACCATCCAGTCTCTTTGCATTTTTCATTCAGCCAGATATTCAGACACCTACTGTATAAACCTCCTGGAACTGCAGAATAGATCCTGAACCTTTGTTCAAATTGTGGTCATCCAGAAGAGGAATATAAAGGTAAAGGTTATTAGCATACACATAAACCGAGTAAGACAATATATTGATACGGTCAGTCTCATGTGGACAGAAATTGCTTTTTGCGTTTTGATAAATTTTCTTTCTTTCATTAGTTTCTATTCCATTGTAGCAATTTCCAAAACTGCAGTTCATCATTTGTTAGACTTTTCCCTGTCATTTGACTTCTCACAATATATATATGACAGAGAAGACTGGATGCATGCAAGCTACAGTGAATTAAACGTTTAAGGAACATAGCAATGGTCCTTTGGCCCTTTCCTAATATTAGGGATACAAATTGCCCAACAGATTACAGCCACAGTTTTGCTGATAAATTGATTACAATCTAAGTGAGTTTACACAATTAAGCTAAACTGACTTTTTATTCATTTCGATTACTGGCAAACGTTCACAGTGTGTCTCAAATTGGTCCATTTTATCTCTAGTTCAGAAGGTAGTGAATCACTATGTAATGAATTTGATTTCAGGCAAAGATTAGGTTACTGATTGAATGAACAGTGGGCCACCGATGAGTCAATGATCTGTGACACATGATAAATGATGTCACATCAACAACACATGCTATCTCTCTTAGGTAAGCTCAGTTAAAAAGAAATGAATAACATGAAGAAACAATACTATTATTAGCAGCTTAAAGTTTCTGACATTGTGAGCAATGTTATCAACCTTTGATAACATGTTAGCTAGCTAGTGATTGACCATAACATTGTTTTTGTGATATACTTAGTTATCTAAAGCTTTCTCCGCCTCCCAGTAGTTTTCTAATATCAAAAACTATAGGAACAAGGAGATACCGTTCTCAAATAAAGGCAAGTTGAATAGTTGATTCTCTATCAAGAGTAGCTTCAGTTTAGTACTAGTACTTTTGGTCTTATGACAACAAGGCCACATCATTAATTCCACAACTGCCCCCTGTTTGAATTGGCATGCACTCTGTGCAGCCCTTTTAATTTGTGTTTGGTCAAGAGACACCAGCCTCACCATTATTTTTGAATTAGCAGGCAATGATGTGCACTAAGGAAAGAGTGTTGGGGTTGTTTTTTGTAAACTTTAGCTATTTTCCCGGTCAAAAACATAGAGCATACTCTCTGTAACAGCAATAAGATGTACACATCCTTGTACATGTCATCAAAAAATTTGGTCAATATTGTAAGCAGCCTGTATATCTGTGTACATAACTGCAATAAAAGGGTGCACAACTCATTAAACTTTGAATTGGATGTACTACAACTGCAACAGAAGACTTTGTCACTCTGTCAGCAAAAGGGGAGAAAAAGCTCCCAGGTCTGAGTGGTTTATAATGCTGATGACAGGATCTGAATTTGGTGGAGAAACACCATAAATCTGTAGATACATCCTTCCTGGTGGTAATGGTACAGGCTGGTGATTGGGCTAATGGCGTAAGAAATGTTTCCTCTGCACACAAAAGGCCCTCTAGTAGCAACTGGGCATAATTTGAATGTCACAGCCCACTTTCACGTTCTTGCTGACCAGGTACATGAGCATGACAGTTCCAGGAAAATGACAGTGGGCTGCACAACCCTTATATTTAAAGCTAATAGAGCAGGACTTGGGGAATAAGGTGGCATGGGATATCCACAGCATGAATGCTCTTCTGTGAATGCTGAACTGTTGCAGCACTATTGAGTCAATGAAAGTGTTCCCAAGTTTTTAATTCAGGTTTTTCTGGAGGCCAGCAGCATCCACTTGAAACAATAGAGGGTGTCTCATATAGAATATATTATAATTCTCTTATTTTAGTATTGACCCTGTTCTCATTGGGGTCAGATATTCAAAAGGTAAATGGAAGTGTTAATTTACTAATTCTCATTTTCACAAGCACTTAATGATACCACCATTGTCCTCATAACTATTCCATTCTATCAAAAAAGGATGAGGGATTGAGCTGGATGCATGGGAAGCATCTGTAACTTGCTCTTGCACCACATAATGCATACATATATGCATGCACTTAATTCATATGCTCTCACATATACAGATATACAGACGTACAGACTCTAGGAGCAGCATAATCTGCTCTAGAGGGGCAGCTGTGGGTAGAGGCATTTGTTTTGGGGATGATTTGTTTGTTTGGGTCCTGGCACCCAGATGAGCAGTAATCAGAGGAGTTAGCAAACAGGATTGTGTTAGCCATGACGCAGAGAATCCTCCCCCACAGGGCCCAGACCCAAACGGCTCAACGCTTTGGCTCCAGAATCGGTGCTGATACACACACACACACACACACAAAATCACAAATACCCAGTGTCTAAGCATGTGATATGACTGATGTAAATTGTACTGGTTTGTTTGATTGGATCTAGTATTGACACTAGCATCAGTCTCTCCCCTTTTAAGAGAATGTGACACAATGCGTGGATAAGTGTGAAGGTGATATATCAGCTGATTCATTTTGGTTCCTCATTTTCACTTGTTCTCCATGTTTTCTTTTTTATAAATACTAATTCTTTCTTCCCCCATTTCCCTTCCCTCATTCCCCCCTCTCTTTCCCTCTTCTTGTATGCAATCATTGTTTTCTCTCTATCTCGCTCCCCTTCAATCCTTTCTGTCTCCCCTCACAGGCCTGGTTGTGAGAGAGGCCAGCATAGAGATCACTCGGCAGCAGGTGGAGGAGTTGTTTGGGCCAGAGGACTTCTGGTGTCAGTGTGTGGCCTGGAGCTCCGCAGGGACCACCAAGAGCCGCAAAGCCCATGTCCGAATCGCCTGTGAGTATTCTCATCCCACTCCTTATCCCATTACTCAGTCTTTATCTTCCCTCTCATCTTTGTATTCCTCTCCAAACAAAATCTCTCGGCTGCCAAGGAAATGCATCTCACAGACCAACTTGTGCATCATGACAGATTTATAGATTCTGGGGATAGAAGCAGTGAAAAAAAAGGTTTTTACTAACATGGGACTCAAGTGTCCCTTTGAACTTGAGTTGGTAAAAAGCCTGCAGAATCAGAATCGGTTTCTTTGTCTACAGTACAAACCTGGAAGCAGTGCAGAGTAAGGGAGAGAGCTGCAGCAGTATATACACAGTAGAGAGGCTACGGCACATGTTTACACCAGTGTTCCCTCTTTTTCCTGTAGGTGGTCCTCATTTGTTTCCTGCCTATGTGTTTGTCCTCCTACTAAAAAGCAGACTTCAATTGTTTCCAAGTAATGAGAAACATTCTGTTGCCTCTAAAGTTTGGGCTCATTTTTAACTGTTCCCCAATGGATCTGTCAATCAAAATCTGAAAAAGTAATGACACCCCAGAGGACGCAGTGAGGAAAGCAGTGTGTAGTTATAACATCAAGGTAATGCTCCTGCAACACAGCACATATTACGTAACACTACTGCTTACACATTGTTGTCAAAATTCCACCTGAAGGGGCTCCTTTCAAGGCATTGTGACTGACATGTCCCGCCCAGCTTTGCTGTTTCTGTTTTGACTTGTGGCAAACAGACAAAAAAAATGGAACACCCACTTGCAGTGTGTATCGTAGTCTGTATCAAATATATTGCTATCACTGCTGGATATCACTAGAGCTTAATGTTTTGCTGGCAACTTGGTGCCAATGTCAGAATGATTTCATCTTCACTATACAGTACAGCAGAGTAGCACAGTGCGGAGTCAATATCCATGATTTTCACCTGAGCTACTCCATTTAGAGGCACTTAGTAATCATATACCTGTCCCCCTCAATTTTTTGCTCACCTAATTCTCATTTTCTTTCTCCGCATCTTCATATCACTGTCTCTGTAACTTTTTTCCTTACTAGTCCCCCCCTGTTTTCTGTACAATTTCTCGTTGAATTCAGTGTATGCTCTCTTTTTCAAACAGCAGTAGCTGTGCTCATTACTGCCTCTGTTAAACTAGCTTGGTGAATCAGAATCATGCCTCTCAGTCTCCCACCGAGCCCACTCCCGCTGCTCCACCTCCTATAATCACCCATGATGAGCAGCCTTCCAGCACTAACCTATCCCTCAAATCACAATGGACCCCTCTTCCCCTCCCATTAGCTTCTGCTGAATGGATTAGCTCCTCTGCTGGGCTCTCTCTTCAGGCAGGCTTCTTGTCAGAGCCAGACTCTATCCCGTTAGGCTAATGGAAACTGGGCTTGTTTTCCTCTCCTCTCCCATCATCTAAACATATACAGTTTAATCAGATGGTGAGTCAGAGCCAGCGCTGGCGAGTTAAGAGGTTGTTGTGTTGAAGGACTGGCTTTCAGACTTGCAAAAAAGCCTGGTCGGACTAAAAGTATTGTCAGAGTTTCTGTGTAAATTCCCTGTGATTGCCTTTTCTTCATGTAACATCAGAAAAAGCATTTTGATTGGCCTCCATATTTGGAGAGCAGTGGTGGGTTGCCAAAGAGAGGCATTATAAGTATGTGCACAGAAGCAAATTAAATGAATGAATCAAATCAGCTGAAATGCCTTTCAAAAGACTGTCGGAGGAAAATATTTAATGAGAAAGCTGGAAATTGATTTTCTTGTTTGTTTGTGGCCTTGTAATTTTTACGAGTACAACATAATAAGTAAAACCTCAACTTTATTACTAGTGACTTAACTAATGGTTAAAACTAAAACTTGGTAAGTCATTCCTAATCCTGATTTGCACCAGTACCTAATGATTTACTCAGCAAGAAGAAACTGTTTCTGAAGTGTAAGACTGGTGTAATTCAGCATGACAAGTAGCCAAACATATCCACTTAAGGTAATGGTTGTCATATGTGTATCCTTTTGAGGGCGAGTGAGGCTGGAAGTGTTTGTCTGCCGAGGAGGGAATGGTGTGACTCCCACAGGAATGTCGATTCAGCTGGTCCCACACCCTTTAGTGTCCCAAAGTATCGTTCAGGGTTACGAGAAGTGAAGAAAGCAGAGACTCAAGAGGGGAAGCATAATTTAAACCCACATCCAATAAAATATACAGTGCAAAATAATCACTTGCATGCTACTTATTGTATTTCATCAGGAGTAATGCCAAAAGTTTTCAAATCATGATATTAAAAAAAAAGCACTGGGTGTTTAATTTTAGTTTAACAAGCTGTAGTTGATCTGCTTCAAGAAGCATGAGTAATAAAAGCATGAATATTTCAGATGAATTTACAAACACTAGGCTATGCCATTAATACTAATAGTGTAATTCAGGCTATTCTGTGATTCTTATGTTCTTATGTTCTTCCACAGTGCATCCACTTGGTAGTAGGTTCTGGTTTGGCTCAAAGGAATAATTAAAGAAACACATGGGTTTCTGGCAACAGAAACAGAAATGTAACTAAACACATTTATTATTTGGCATTTGTGACCCTCTGCAACATTTTTGTTCATATTGCTTGGGTTTAAGGAGGTTTTATGGCTCTAAAGTCGGAGTTTTTACTTCTTCTCTTGATAAACACACTATATTTCATTGTGAAACATGTTTGAGCAAAACCAGAACCTACTGACCTTACCACAGACACTACCACCGGTATGTGGCTGCTGGGCATTATGGTTTATTCTAAATCAATAAATGGCATGCTGAAATACTGCACACTGAGCAGCCAGACCAGTACCCAGTGAAAACTTCCATAATCTCCAGTAGCTTCATATGGAGAAATCAAATTTAATATATTGGATTTGACTGTAGTGCATATAAATAGTACTGTATATCATAAAATATGTCACAGTGTAGGATAATGTATGCCTGTCTCTCTTCCTCGCCTGTCATACTGTGGCTACATCTTCTTTTATCTTTTGGGTGCAACTAGGATCCATCTCTACATTGTAGTTCTGACATCAGAGCAACAGTAGAATAATTCTTACAACTTCAAACAGCAGTACCATTTTGAGACATAGTTTTGCTACCCTCCTTTCCTTTCCTGTTTTTTTCTTTCTGTCTTAAGAAAAACTGTTTGTCCTTGGATCAAATTCCATGAAGCTTTATCCCAGAATATGCCCCTCCAGTCATTCCCTCTTTTAATTTCATACCAGACTTTTACGGAAATTGCTTTCAATTCAACACTCACCCTTTCAGCTTTTATAATAGCCTACATAGAAATTTGTGGAGTTATGGCATATTCCCCTGAAGACACACATACTCTCAGGTTGAATTGGAACAAGGGCTCTCATTGAATTTGTTATTTTAAGGTTCATTTTTCCAAATAAAGAATGAACCTTAAAATGACTATAGGTATTCTTTAGGGCTTCCGGGTATAGCCTGATCATGTATTCTGTAATAAGAACATGATGTAGTTTCTCCTGGAGGGGATCCTGGAACAGTTAGCTGAACAGTGAAATGTCCCTGTTTCGGGGATATGTCTGCTTGTGTTATAGCTATTGAACAAAATTAAACAAAACGAAAGCAAGTGATGAAATCGGTAAATTGAACCTCTATATTGATCAGGTTTTAGGGAGCCCTCTTTTCATTGCAGGTGATTATGCCTTTGAGAAACGATTACCCTTATGGATATCCAGTCATACGCATACTTCAATCACCAGACACTGAAGAAAATGTATTTATTTGGAAAGATGTGGTTACTGTAGCCTATTACTCTTCCATAACCACTGCAGTAGACTTGTGTGCATTCTGACTTATGAAGTACAAATTTTGCCATACAATGTGTCATTACACATCTGCTGTTGCTTTCAGTTACAGTATACTCACATCTAAAAAACTTGAACTCAAAGCCAATGTCCTCTGTTATGTTAGCACACAATGTCAATAGCAGTCTGTATATTAACTGCATTCTGTGAAGAAGAATTACCATATCCTTTTCATAGACTGGTTCAGCGATTCCATTGACAAAGTTAGATAGAAAAAAAAACTGATGAAATGTATTGGTATCACAAATGTACAGGTTAGGTGTAAAGTAGACACAGACCCCCAGCACTTCTCGCACTGTTGCAACCCATTTGCAGCATTTCTGCAGATTATATCTTTATCTCATGCAGTCTTTAAACATGCTTGGTTCGATTCTTAAAGGTTTGAACTTTATTTTAGGATTTGCCAGAACCTCTGAGCTTGTAGTTATAGAACCAATATAGTTTTCAACTTGGTTTGTTGCCCTCTTCAGTCATTCTTGTCTTTGTAGTATATGTAGGTTTAATGGTGGCATAGTTTCAGAGTTCATTTAATGTCAGATTCTTTATTCTCTTTTACAGATTGTGGGAAAGTGTTTGTGTTTGTGAATGGGTTTCTTGAAAAATAAATTCAAATGCATTGTAGAATTGTTTTGTAGGAAAAACATGTTATTTTAGACGTGGTTGCTGCTTTTAGATTAAACATGTCAGTAAAAAGGCTAAAATGAGTGTGCTTGCCAAGAGTAGTGCGGAGGTTTGTGGAAATGGTATCAGTGGAGTTTGGAGGTTTGATTGTAGATTTGATGCTTCAGCAACTCTAAAGTTCCCAAGTAGTACAGTAACTCCCCATTAAGTCCTCTCCTCTTCTCTGTTGTTGTGTATGATGTCCGCCACTCCTGTCTGAGTCTGTGCAGCAGGTGATGATATATGTCTAATGGGCTCCAGGTTCCAGTGTAGCATGACACCTTCAGTAATCCTGCCCTGTCAGCTCGACTATCCGTGCCCTGCACTACTCAATCAGGGCTCTCACACCACAAAGATATTGGTTTTTCATTGGAGGCCGAGTGATCCCCGTCTCCCTATCTTCCTTCCATCTACTGCAGGGAGGTTTATCTGTGTGCAGAAGGTGAGGGGGAGACAGCATAAATCTCACTTACCGTCCCTAACATTTAAATGCACACTGTTGTATATTGCTTTTGCACACAGGCAATTATATTATTATATATATTGATTAGATTGCCTTTTCTTTTGATTATGTATCATTAGTTCCAATTCAGTTATTATTATTATCTATTATTCCATTATTGATTGACCCAGCATTTAGAATTAAACATAGCTCTCAAAACTGCCCTCACATCTATCTGTCAATGAGATACAGGTAAATATTGATACACAATGCTCTTCTGTCTGTTCATTGTAGACTTGAGGAAGACATTTGACCAGGAACCTCTTGGGAAGGAAGTGTCACTGGAACAGGAAGTGTTGCTCCAATGTCGCCCACCAGAAGGCATCCCAGCTGCTGAGGTAAGGTTCACAAGGCATTTCGCTGCTTATACATATTTCCCAAAAGTCTCAAATCCAGTTCTGAAAAGAGGTTTATGTGAACCTTTTTGGGCTTGGTTTCTGCTGAAATGTCGCCATCATTTCTGGTGTGATTTCTTAATATATAATAGGTAGCTGTATATTTGGCATAGGTATTTATTAGCATGTATTATATTTGTTGGTAATGCCAGCTACTGGTTTTGTCCCTTTATGCCACATGAAAAACTGTGTTGATTGCAGAATTTTGCCTCAGTTTTGAATTCTGCTCGTTTTAAAAGTTGTAATGAAATAACACTGAATAAATCTGACACAGTCCAGCGCACAGATAAGGACATTTTTCCACCACTGCCTGAGCTATTTAAGCTGTTTGGGTGTTTCCTGAACATCGGCCAGTCACTGCAATTTGGTCAGAGGAGAGAAAATTGTAATTATCTGCTGAGGGGGAAAAGAATAAAACCAGTTGTGTCCCTGTGTTACCTTAGCACAGCCAATATCTCCTCCCTGCTCTACTTCCTCCCTGCCCTACAGTAGAACACTGTTATAGCTGCATTTGAAAAGGCTCAGTTGAGATTGCAGGAACATAAATAGAGGATGAAAGGGTGGTTTGATAGGTGGGGGGGCTTTGGTGGATTTTTTTTTTTTTTGGAGTTGGGGGTGCGGGACTGAACTCTGTAAAGGCTTGTGATTGACCTGGAAAAGCCGAGTTAAGTGAGTGGAACTGCACAGCATTTATCCCTGCTGAAAGTGCTGACAGGCTAAATGGACTAAAGTTTGGGACTGGCACTCGGCAGACTCTCCTCATACAATCCGGGCTTCAGTCTGATAGTGTTGCTGTAACAGCCATATAGTATTGGTGATTTTGCCCGTCTGTCTGTGGTTTCTGTCAATCCTGGATTGGCTCAGTGCAGTGATTCAAGACTCAGCTGGGGTCCAATCATGACACATCTATGCTTTCTGACATATGGAGTTGCTGTGGCAACCAAGATGTACAGTGAAGGGTAAAAAGGACACTTGTCAAGATTAATAGCGTTTTTCATTCACGGTAGAGGTGTGCATTTGTGTGTGGTCAAGTAGAAATAGAGTAGTGTTGTTTTAGTGTAGTTACACATCACTGAACAAGGCATCTATTCAACAAATGTGAGGGAAAATAATGTTTAGTTCAATTCTACAAGGAGAAATTAAGTTAGGATATGATGAGTGGCATCTGTTGCAATTCAGCTTCTCTAAAAAAGAAAAGCATGAACAGATTGTTTACAATTCTCCCTACTTGCGTCATTTTCTGTATTCTAAGAGCAGTGATTGTTTTCTCTGTTTACTTTTCCTTCTATGATCGAGTTGAATTTTTTTGTGTGTACAGAGGCACTTTTTCAGCTTCTTTAATTACTTACACTTACCTCATGGCTACAGAAAAAGACAACAGTTCTATTCCACAAGTAGGTTTTTTTCTGAACTCAAACACAGCTGCCTCAGTGGGAAAAAGGACAAAACCGAATGCTGCTTTTTCATCTGTGTTTGTCAGGCCTTTTCTCACACAGGCCCGCCAGAGAAAAAGCCTCGGAAAAAGCAGATGGGCTAAGTCTGTGGTTACATATGAATCTGCAGAAATATGTAGCAGCCGTTGTGAAGGAAAGATCTGTCATATTTCACCCACTCTAAGACATCATTTTTTTTTAGAGAGGATGAGAGAGGCTAGAGGCAGAAGGAGAAGAGCTGTTGAGGTTTGTCGGGGTTGGATCCAGTGGGTTGTTGTCAGGCCTCCAGTGGGCTGTCAGTTCGCTCTGTGGTTCCTTTACAGGCCTTTGCCTTGCAAGGGAGAGGCTGGCAGAATGGCAGGCTGTGGCTGAGCCATAAAACCCTCTGCTCTTACAGCACTTTTGTTAAATCATGTGGACTGCATGTGATGGACATTGAGTTGTGTGGTAGGGTTCCAAAGCTATTCTTTCACTTAAAGACATAGCAGAACACACATACTGCACTGACGGATGGATAGATGTCACATGTCAGAGTACCGGCAAGGACATTAACACATCTGCATGCCAACAACTCAAATGAGCACTGATAGTCTATTCATCTATTCTGAACAGTGTGATTGTGGCTGACGAGCTGGCAGAAAAAGATGCACTGCTGATCATCTGGAAGGACTTTGTTGTCCCTCTTATCAAACTAAAATAAAAGTTTCATAAGGAATATAATTTAGGTTAAGCCGAGCTATCACCATCTTCTGCTGTCATCGTTGATGGTATTAAAATGAGATTGGAATAGTCTCCCAGTAGTGAAATGGCAATGGTTCCATCCACTGACACTTTCTCATGTTCTTAATATTTTTGCTTCAGTTTTAAGAAAGTTAGTTCGTTGAGATCAGCTATAATGCCAATTTTTTCTCATCTGTTTTTGACCATGACTTACTAAAGTAACTCACCCACACAGACACACACACACACACACACACACACACACACACACACACACCCGCACACACATACATTCTCAGAGCTACGAAGCCCACGTTCTGGAGAATCAAAGTAAGTCAGTCACAATTATCTCAGATTACAAAGTGGAACTGCACTATTTGATGTTATCCAGTATGAGTCTTTTGTTCCCTCTTTGTCTTCCCAGTTTTCAGATGATTTACATTATAGGTTTTCACAATGGTTTACCACAGTAATGACATTCTGTGATTCTATTTAAGTGGTTTTGAGTCTTTGTTGACTTTCTGCGGGGGCTGTTGCCCTGAAAAACGAAACATTATGCTGAATAATCAGGATTGCTCCTGTGATGATTTAGCAACTTTTTATAACAGAACATATGAAACAGTTCCCATTTAGGCATCTCAGAGGTTTTCATGTTTGGAGTTGAGTCAGAGATATCCTAGCTCTTATTCTGACAGCTTATTCACACTTGATACATTGATTTTCTGGTGTGCAGATAGAGGCTGAGTTGTGGAATACACACACACACACACACACACACACACCACACACACACACACACACACACACACACACACACACACACACACACACACACACACACAAAGAAAACAAGCAGGAGGCATTTATTTTGGCTCTCCTTGCGACCATTACCGATGGAACTTTGGCCTCGGAGGACTGAAATACTGCGAGTGAGGTTTCTGAAATAGCACATGGATTCAGTCATCTGAACGTCTTGTATGGGCTGAATACATTAGACATTCACCAGGCTCCCTAAAAGTCATTGTTACACGTTTCCATAGCCATGAATATTTGATATATACTTAATCAAGAGCAGAAGGAAAATTTAACTGTTGAGGCTATTCTAGGAAGTAAGGAAGAGGGAGTGATTTGGCAGGAAAAGCTTGGTTTCTGTGTTCCATGGACTTATTTGTTGAGTGCTGCCCATAGAGTAATAAAGGTAAAGATGGGGATGGAGGACTTTCCATCAGCTCAACGCAGATCCTTCTCTTTGAATACCTCCATGAAGCTCTTTCATCAACATCTAAAGGGTCTCTTAACAGTGGCCTCTTTTCATATTGATGAATATGTGGCAGGCTCATAAAATGGACTTAAATCTCTTTTGTGAAAGAATGCAGCTTTATTGTTCATTTCTCTTTTATTCTGCCATGGCCTCCATCTCCATCTCCACTTCAGAGCACTTGTCACAGCCCTCAGAGAAAGACAAGAGTTCAGAGGTGATGCAGCGCCATGAGCTGCTGAGCCTGTTTCCATGGAAGCAGGATTTTAATTCAGGCATCTCCTCAGTCAGCCGGGGTCCTGCCGTGTTATCATGGGTAACGAGTCATTGATGCTCTGCAGGGAAGAGGCCCTGCTGCCATGATTAAGTCCATTGGCTTTACTGAGAAGAAAGCCAGGAAACACAAAGATCTTTACTTCACACTCCCTCACCCAGAGAGGTGAGGAAAATTAAGTCTAAGATGAATTTAGACAGCTGGGACAGAAGCCAGAGCCAAATTCAAGAGTTTCACATGGAGTTCTGCAAATCCATTGGGACAGTAGATTTTGTTATTAAGGTCAAATAATTAGTTTTTGAGTAAATGTACTTATAATGACTCTCAGCATTGAGCGTTATGTTACGACATCTAATGTAGCTTGAATATCTTGACTTGTCGACTCTTGTCGTGTTTCGTGGAGTATCTGCTTTTTCCACACACAATGTCAATGATTACTGTTGATTTTAGGCCCGGTTCCAGTTAATAGGTGAAGTGAAGGCATAACGCAAACAGCAGCTCATCAGGTCACCTTGTCAAGAAATAGCTGAGTGCTTCCTCCCAGTCAAAATGGTGCGTAGTGTAGTTCTGAGTGAGGCTAGGAATGTCAAGAGCAACAACACTCTAGTGCCCCTTGAAACAGGAAGTGTGTTTATATGAAGGTTACCCATGGGAGAAAAGATGTCAGGAGGCCAGACTAAATCCCTGTGGCAACCAACCATAGATTGCCCTTCAGGCACTCAACTGTCAATCATTTCAGTTTTCCTGTGCAAAGGCTGTGATTTACTCTTAATAGCCCAACATTTGTGAGCTCTGCTGTCCTCTGTAAGTCACTGCCCTTTCTAGTGTTACCTCCAGTGGGTCAGGCCTTAACAAACATTTACATGTAAAATCTAAGACCCGAGGGGTTTTTCTGTGCGTGTACTGCGTCAGACCACCTTTGAGAAAGAAAGGAAAATATTATTCACTATAGGACAGAGACGAAAAACGCTGCTTGGGGCTCTAGGAGGATGCAAAGATTTAAACTGATACTAGAAAACAACACCAGTACTGCATGTGTGAAAACCCCCTTCCCATTCTTTCGCTTAGAATAACTGGTTCATTTGCCATCAAAGCTTTCTCCCAAGCCCCTAAAGTAAAGGCAGATTTTTTTTGTCTACACTCCCAAAAAGGGCATAAAATGATAAAAATCTAATTTTCTCTACCGACCTGGAATCGTAGGCAAGGTGAATTGCAGGATGCCAGGTGGTATTTTCATTTAACATGGGAATGAGACATA